CCCAACTCAAAAAAAAAAAAAAGCCGCTGCATAATGCATAGAAGCTGGGCAGTAAAGGCACGGCAGCTCCTGTTTCCAAGGGGTGGCTGCCGTGGCCTGGGCATACTCATGGTCCAGTAACCTAACACCCTCCCACTGCCCTTGGCTACTGGGAGGGGGAGAGGCTGAATGAGGGGACTCTGCAAAGCGGGTGAGTCCCCCGACCCCAGGCTCTGAAGGTGGCAGCTGAATTCCACATCAGACTCCTCGCAGCACATGCTTCCCTGAGGCCCAGACACCGGCTGGCACAGCCACCCCTCCTTACAGACGGAAGACCCGCAGGTCCAACAACCTGCCCCGATGCTCAAGGACCGGGAGCCAATCCTGGTTGCCTTCCTCACCTCTTCCCTTCCCCAGTAAAGGGAAGGAATGGGCTTCATCAACATCTACCCCTCATATGGGGACAGCTGCCCTCAAAGCCCAAATGGCCATGCTCTCTAGGACATCCCCTTAGTGCCAGGTTGGCAGGCTCATACTCCTGTGGGACCTTGTGGGGACAGTTTTACCAGGGTTCTGTGGTCACTGCCACCAACTCCAACAATCCTGACTCCTTGGGCTTCAATTTCCACGTATAGAGCCGGGGGCAAAACCTATCCTGGGATGACTCAAAGTGTGGCCCATGTGAATAATGGCTGGTTGGCCCAGTCACTCTTGTCACCAGCCTGGCTTGAGCAAGTACAGAAATTGGCAGTAAGTATTTAGAAACATTTATGGCAAACTGACAGTAATTTTATATGCACTGACTCTAATGACTAAAACCCAAAGCTTTTACGAATGTATGTTTTCATTTTAATATTTCATCTTCAGCTCATTTTGTAAAACCATTGCTCCACAGTGGACTGAAAAATGAAGGAAAAAGGTGAGTGATTTACCATGGTACAAGCTCTGGCCCACACGACCACTGGCTTGCTTCTGGCCAGGACTTTCTGGCACTGGCCTCAGAACTCACCTTGAATTCCTGGGTCCCAGTTCTTTGCTGAGGCCTCGAGGACCTGAGCAGCCGCACACGGGGCAGGAACACGTGCACCCGCAGAAGACAGACACACACTTACATGCAGACTGATTTTGCACCCTTCCACGCAAGCTCTCGCCTGCCAAGACACCAGGCACCTCCCCAGCCCAAAAGGGTAAACCGAACGAGGCAAAGGTTTGGACACCCACCTGACTCCCTACCAGCGCTGTCCCGGGACTCACCGGAGGCTGCTTGCGCGGCCTGCCCCGGCCTCGCTTCTCGGTGCCGTCCTTTTCCTGCTTGGAGGCCAAGGGCTGGCTAGACTTCGAGCTTGACTCGCTCATCTTCCTTCCTCTGGAGCAGGTGGGAGAGTGGCGGCTGGAATGCTGGGAGACAGGAGGAGTGGTTTCAGATGAACATCTCGCTCCAGCCACGTCCCACCCCCTTCGCCACTGCTACCCTCAACACACGCTGTGGGAAACTGTGCTCCCAGCAGCCCCCAGGTCTCCCACCCTAGCATGCTGCCACAGGGTGGGGCGAGGCAGTTGGTCCTAATCAGCTCCTTATCTCCTGTTCAGAAGGGTTCTTTGTTGTCCTGCCCTGACACCACCCCCGCAGGGCCCAGGAGGTACAGCCAGCCCAGACCCAGCTACATGGGTGAGGCCATCCTGGGCAAAGGTGTGAGCAAGGTGGGGGGTCTGACATCTTGCCAAGGTCCCCTCCTTCTGTAGACAGCTGCTCCTTTTCACTCTAAGAGAAAACCAAGCCTGGGCAGTTCAGAGGAACTGAGGAGAGTGGAAAGAATGAGACCCTGGCAGCCACGGGCATCCATCCCCAGCCTACCCCACTGGAATGCTGCCAATCCAGCAAGGCCCAGGCCCCCAGGACCAAATGCCGAAAGGGCAATTGCACAGCCAGGGCTGGTGCCCACCCACCACTCTCTCCTCTGCCCTCTCCCAGGGCAAGTCCCTGGATGACTTGAAGATGGCAACAAGCGAGGCAGGGAGAAAACGAAGACGCTGCAGTGGGTGAGGAAAAGGAGCCCAGAGCCAAGGGCATCCTACTTCTCCCTTCACCCCTGTTCTGCCCAGCTGGAGAAGACAGGACTTTGTCATGTAGGCAGGGAATTCTCCAACTTGAAATGAACCCTAGCAGGCCCTAACTGGCCCCCTTGCTGGGTTGATACTAAAAGCTCCTTGGTCCTTTTCTAGCACGTTTCTTCTTCTCAGAGGACTGTTGGGGTTTAATTAGCCCCATTAATTTTGAGTTTAGTGCCAGGCGTGGTGGCTCACGCCAGTAAGCCCAGCACTTTGGGAGGCCTAGGCGAGAGGACTGCCTGAGCCCAAAGGTTCAAGACCAGCCCGGGCAACTTGGCAAGGCCTTGTCTCTACAATAAATAAAAAAATTAGCCAGGTGTGGTGGCATGAGCCTATAGTTCCAGCTACTTGGAAGGCTGAGGCAGAAGGATCGCCTGAGCCCAGCAGGTCGAGGCTGTGGTGGCCGTGAGTGTGCCACTACACTCCAGCCTGGGTGACAGTGAGGCTCCAACTAAAAAAAAAAATTTTTTTTGAGTTTCCCCAAAACCTCCCACTACAGAAAGCACCTACCCCCCATTTTTGGGAACGCCTCTACCGCAGGCTTTAAAACACACGCGGTTCTCCACATCTCCATCCTAGTCCTTATCACCCCCAAGCTACAGATAGACAGGGCCGGAAGGCCTGTGCTACACCCTTTCCCAGTAACCAATCCCCGCCTGGCCAAGGTGGTAAAGGCTGGGCCCAAGCGGCTCCACTTCTCCAAGCCTCTTGACCTGCTAAGGGGCTGGACCATAAGGCACCTGCCTCAACTATCTCTCTAGACTGCTGAGGCTCAAACTAGGTAATAGTTTAGAAAAGCTTAAAATGAAGAAATCTTCACTAACCAAAATAAGAACTAGATTATTTGAAAATAACTTCTTTCCCCTTTTCAGACTCTGAAACAATTTCCAATTTTAACCAGTGAGAGGGAAAAACATTTTTGCAAACTTGTTATTTTTGGAGGTCTTGAGGCCTCTATCTGCAAGCATCAAGAGACCCTCCAGACAGCAGGACTTTGTCTGGTAATTATTCTATTTTATAATATTTCAGACTTGGAGACCCTTTTAAACAAGGTGGTTGGTGATTTACCCTGCTCCGTCATTAGTGGCTTGGCCTGCTTTGTAATTACAGGCAGTGATTAGAATCTTACATTACACCACAGGTCCTCCTTCAAACTAAACATCAAAATTAATCAGCTAAATGAGTGCTGACCTCACATAAGGTCTGCCTGAGGCCCCCTCATAGAGGGGGTTCCAGTTGGGCGAAGACAGTCAGGAATCCAAGAGAGCCTGGGCCGGGCCTGCCTGGGGATCCCGGAGGGTCTCCCTGGATGCTCTTATACCATCGGGCGCCTCTGCTCACCTCTTGCTGCTGGAGACCCTTCAATCCCCATTCCCTTCCAACCAACACCCCACAAACTGAATGAAGGCCCGAGGCCCTCTCCAGTGAGGCCAAATGTTGTCTCTTCCACCTGTTTCTGAACATCAGAGGCCTGTCTTGGAGAAGTCACATTTAGGGCCCAAACTAATTGCAGTAAGTCCTCTAGGGCCTCAAGCCTGCCGCCTCCCGACACCAAGCACGCAATGGGTTCTCCTCAAATGCTTAAAGACCCCAGGAAATCATCTTGGAGGTTCCCTTATTTAAAAAAAAATGCCATAGGAGTCGCCCAAGGTCGCACAGCAAGTTGACCAGCAGGATCAAGTGGGTTCCTGGCGACCCTTCCAGCCCGCCACTTTGCTGGTTAAGACCCTGTCGCATCCTACTCTAAGCCCGGACCTAGGGTGACTCTGCAAGTGTCTATGGCGGGCCGTGGTAGGCCGGCCGGCGGGGCCAGGGGCCAGGGCGCGCGGGGGGG